GTTTTTCCTAGGGTGGCATTTAATTTCCTTCGTAGTTAGTTAGCTTTTATAAGTTAATGAAGTATGACAACGCCATGAATGTTGGAGTGGGGACAAAGGCAGGAAGCTAAGCAGATGTGTCTTTCATGGTCCCGGCTCCGTTTTCCTGGCCACACAAGTGCCTTGGCTTGCCTTGTGGATAGAAAGCCCTGTGAGCCACAGACTAAGTCAAGATTTGAATTTTTCTAAAGTTAGCAAAGAGGGGATTTCACAAAGTGTAATTCTCTTGGCAAAAGGGCTGTTGTCATTTTTTTAATTGTGTGAAATTAAATCATTCAAACTTAAAGCTATTAGAACCTTAAATTATTCTGAGCCTTGAGAGGAATGTGGCGCTGTGGCCTAAGTCATGTGCCATGCAGCTACAACTTCTGCCTTCTTTTTCCTGTAAATAATTAGGAAGACCAGGCAGCACCAGAATAAGGGCCCCTCAGACCATTATCCCGCCTCACAGATGAATCATCTTCCTTGGAATGTAGTAATCTGTAATCAATGAAATTGCTGTAATATATGCTTTGGTCTTGTATAAAAAAATATTATAATCAGGCCAGGTGCAGGGGCTCATGCCTGTAATCCCAGCACTTTAGGAAGCTGAGACAGGAGGATCACCTAAGATCAGGAGTTCAAGACCAGCCTGGCCAACATGGTAAAACCCCATCTTTACTAAAAATACAAAAATTACCAGGATGTGGTGGTGCTTGCCTGTAATCCCAGTTACTTGGGAGCCTGAGGCACAAGAATCACTTGAACTGGGGAGGCAGAGGTTGCAGTGAGCCGAGATCATGCCACTGCACTCCAGCCTGGGCAACAGAGCAAACTCTGTCTCAAAAAAAAAAAAAGTTAAAATCCTGCTAAAACTTCTTTGTCTCTGTCTAGATAAAAAAGACATTAACTTCGCCACTTTATTTGTTTATTTTAGAGACAGGGTCTCACTTTGTCACCCACGTTGGAGTGTGGTGGTGCCATCACAGCTCACTATAAACTTGAACTCAAGTGATCCTCCTGGGTCAGCCCCCTGAGTAGCTGTTGGGACAACAGGCACGTGCCACTATGCTTGGCTAAATTTTTTTTACTATTTTTAGTAATGGGGTCTCACTGTGTTGCCCAGGCTGGTCTCAAACTCTTGGCCTCAAGTGGTCCTTCCACGCTGGCCTCCCAAAGCCTTGGGATTACAGACATGAGCCACCATGCCCAGCCAACTTCTCCACTTTAAAATGCTGACCCTATTCATCTGGAGTCTGCATTTGCCAGGTGACTATCCTCAAGCTTTGCACTGGAGTAAACGCTACACTTTAATCTTATTTTCTGAATTTCATTATTTAAGATTGATTATTGTAAAACTGAATTTCAAATTCTCCTCCCCACCATAGGGGTGATATAGCTATCCAGGGGGAATGGCTCATCCCATGGAGGTGAATTAAAAAAGGACTGACAGGGAAAGGAGGAAGCATGAGAATTCTAGAGCAGAACTTCCCAGTCCTAAAAAGAGGGCTCCTGGTGAGTCCTGGGATAATTTCAAAGCAGTGACTTTGGCAATCAGGTTTATTGGAGCAGGGCAGCTTTTCCCAACTGAGGGGTAAAGGGGGTACACTTTGATAGAGAATAGAATGGTCATTGTTTCTATTTCAACTTTTTTAAAGACACAGTCTCACTCTCTCCCCTAGGCTGGAGTGCAGTAGCACAGTCATAGCTCACTGCAGCCTCAAACTCGTTGACATCAAGCAATCCTCACACCTCAGCATCCCTAGTGGCTGGGACTATAGGTGCACGCTGCTATCCCTGGCTAACTTAATTTTTGTTGTTGTTGTTGAGAAACAGGGTTTTGCTAGGTTGCCCAGGCTGGTCTCAAACTCCTGGCCTGAATTGGTCCTTCCACGTTAGCCTCCCAAAGCAATGGGTTTACAAGCATGAGCCATTGCACCCAGCCCCAACTGTTAAAAATAATGCAATAATTAGTGTTTGAGGGCCATCAAATGCCTATCTAATAATTGGATCAGACAAATCAGCTCACATATTAGTTATTCCTATTAGTGGGCTTATTTGGTGTGTGGACTATTATGTAGTTCTTCATTGTTTTACCCTTAATCTTATAAGGTTTAATTTAGTTTATATAAAGCTACTGCTCCCAGCCTGGGGAACATGGTGAAACCCCATCTCTACAAAATATAGAGAAATAGGCTGGGCATGGTGGTGCATACCTGTAGTCCCAGCTACTTGGGAGGCTGAGGTAGGAGGATCATCTGGCCCAGGGAGATGGAGACTGCAGTGGGTCATTATCACACCTCTGTACTCTAGGCTGGTCAACATACTGAGACCCTGTCTCAAAAACAAGCAAAACACAACAACAAAACCCTACTGCTCACAGTGGGAAGCAGAGTGAAAAGGCAACTCATCAAATAGAAAAATATATTTTCAAGTAATGTATCTGCTGTAGGATGAACATCTAGAATATATAAAGAACTCCTACAACTCAAGAACAACAACAGAAAACCCCAAACAACCCCAGTTTAAAAATGATCAAAAGACTTGAATAGACATTTCTCCAAAGAAGATATACAAATGGCCAATAAATGTCAGGCACAATGGCGCACACCTGTAATCCCAGCAATTTGGCAGGCTGAGGTGGGTGGATCACTTGAGGTCAGGGGCTCAAGATCGGCCTGGACAACATGGTAAAACCCCGTCTTTAGTAAAAATACAAAAATTAGTTGGGTATAGTGGCAGGCACCTGTAATCCCTGCTACTCAGGAGGCTAAGAGACAAGAATGGCTGGAACCCAGGAGGCAGAGGTTGCAGTGAGCCAAGATCAAGCCACTGAACTCCAACCTGGGCAAAAAAGCGAGACTCTGTCTCAAAAACAAAACAAAAACAAAAACAAAAAACAAATGGCCAATAAGCACAGGACTCATCATTAGGGAAATGCAAAACAAAGCCAAATTAGATACTGGTCCACTCATTAGGATGACTATTCTTTTTTTAAAATACAGAAAATAACAAGTGTTGGTGAGGATGTGGAGAGCTGGAACGCTTGTGCACTGTTGGTGGGAATGTAAAGTGGTGCAGCCACCATGGGAAACAAAATGTTGGTTGCTCAAAAAGTCAAACAGCCCAGGGGCAGTGGCTCATGCCTGTAATCCCAGCACTTTGGGAGGCTGAGGCGGGCAGATCACCTGAGGTCAGGAGTTTGAGATCAGCCTAGCCAACATGGCAAAACCCCATCTCTACTAAAAATACAAAATTAGCAGAGTGTGGTGGTGCATGCCTGTAATCCCAGCTACTCAGAAGGCTGAGGCAGGAGAATTGCCTGAACCTGGGACGCAGAGGTTGCTGTGAGCTGAGATTGTGCCATTGTACTCCAGCCTAGGTGACAAGAGCGAAACTCTGCCTCAAAAAGGAAAGTCAAACATAGAATTACCATATGATCCAGTAATTCCACTGCTAGGTATATACCCAAAATAATTTAATGCAGAAACTCAAGCAGATATTTATACATCAGTGTTCACAGCAGCATTATTCACAATAGCCAAAAGGTGGAAATAACCCAAATGTTCATTGATGAATGGATAAATAAAAAGTACCATATACATAGCATGAAAAAGTTTTTTAAAAGGAATAAAATTCTGACATGTTACAACATAAATGAAACTTGAATTATGCTAGGTGAAATAAGCCAGATACAAAAAGACAAACGTTGTATAATTCCACTTACATTGAATACCTAGAGTGGTCAAGTTTGTAGAGACAGAAAGCAGAGTGGTGGGCCCGGCAGGTGAAGCACGGACAGTAAGAAGTTATTTAATGGGTGGGAGCTTCAGCTGGGGTAGATGAAAAAGTTCTGGCAATGTCTGGTGGTGATGGTAGTACAAGAATGTGAATGTACTTAATGCCACTATCTGTACATTTAATGATGGTTAAAATGGTAAATTTTATGTTATATATATTGGACCATGACTTTAAAAAAATTGGGAAGCATAAGGAATGCTTTGTTCAATTACAAACAATTTAACAAGGAACACAAAAATGATAATTTTTCAAGTTCCTGTCAAGATATTTTCACTAGGTCTACACCATGTATTTATCAGGTCACAATTCTTACATAGCATATTAAACTAGCTCTGGTTCTTCAAACATCGATGTTAACAAAGAAAATACAGTATAGTTTTAAAAAATCAGTTTGGCTTTTTCAGTATAGTTAAAAAAAATCAATTTGGCTTTTTACTTACAAAGAAAAGAAGCTCTCTACTCAAAATGTATGATTTCTGAACAAATGTCAACCAAAACACCAATCGCAGTTTGAGATCTTCTCTAGCTCCTCATTTGGAAACAAAACTGAAAAACGACAAAAATAAGCCAACTAGGTTTTTTTAAACCAAAAATTGCAAGCATTTGAAATAGCTGCTTTGGTCTATTTTTGATGGCATCATGCAAATGCATTTCAATCTAAATGTTTTCTCATTTAAAAAAATTTTTATCAACATGATATATGTAGATTACTTTAAAAAAAAAACCCAGAGTACAGCTTAAAGTCAGCTAATGAGCAATGAAAGAAATAAAGAGTAAAAAAATCAGAGAATGGCAGGGTTTGTGGTGAAAAGTCTATGTCTCCTTCCCACCCTAGGCCTATCCTCATACGCAATCATTTTTCTATATTTTGTTCTCTTGGTTGTTACCTTCAGGATTCTAAATAGTATATTTCCATACCGATATTTTTAGATTAGATAGGTAACATCTAACAAGTCCCTGCTCTAAAAGAAGAGGATTTAACCCATACTATTGCCTTTCTCCTCTCAATTTTTATTTTATTTATGTCTTTTTCTTTTTTAAAAAACCTTCATAACTTGAAATAAAACACTTAAGCCTCTATTTCATGATCCATTAACTTTATACAATATTTCTTGCCTCTCCAGGATATAAGATTCTTCTGCAACTATCACCTCTCAACTTAGGTTCCAATATTAAGTCTTCGATGAATTGTCTATTGGTTGATTTTTAAAGTTGAAAACCATTAAATAGTATGTACATTATTATAATATGTAGGTATTATTAACCACAGAGGTTTTTAAAAATATGCTAAGATTCTGTTTCCTCCTCTGCATGGTCAATGTCAGCACTCCAGTGTCAACTGAAAGAAGTTCCAGAATCATGGGCAAAAAGTATTCTCTTCTAAAACACTATCAATTGCTCAAAATGTTACATTTACATTTTAGAGTGTTTCATGTTTGAACCAAGACGATCCTGTACAACCTTCTGTTTTTCTTGGCATTTTTAAGTGCCTTTTGCTTTTTTTTGTTGTTGTTTGTTTTGTTTTTGTTTTTGAGATGGAGTCTCACTCTGGTAGCCAGGCTGGAGTATAATGGCATGATCTCAGCTAACTGCAACCTTCACCTCCCGGGTTCAAGAGATTCTCCCGCCTCAGCCTCCCGAGTAGCTGAGACTACAGGCACGCACCACCACACCTGACTAATTTTTGTATTTTTAGTAAAGACAAGGGATCTCACCATGTTGGTCAGGATCAAACTTCTGACCTCAAGTGATCTACTCGCCTCAGTCTCCCAAAGTGCTGGGATTACAGGCATTAGCCACCATGCCTGGCCTCTAAGTGCCTTTCTTTTATCTGAACTGAAAAAGAAACATGTCTTCTTCTTAATAGGCTTCTAGGTCAGTTTAAGTCTTTGTTGTATCCCATAACTTCCTTTCTCTTGGCTGTCCACACATTTCACTAAAATAATATCCTCAAATTCATCCTAAAAAGGAATGTATGGAGCTATACTGTCTGAGTCCTTGGATGTGTACAAATATCCTAATTTTGCTTTCTCATTCAATAGATAGGATGGCTATATATGCATTTTAAATTGAAAATAATTTCAAATCAATATGTTAGAAAACCCTGACTTACCACTTTATGTTCCATAATCAGTTTGTCTGTTTGTCTACCTTAGCATTTTCCTTTTTGCAATTTATTTTCTTGTATATCTGGGGGTCCTTAGTTGCTCATATTTACTGTCTAACCAACTACTATGCCTCAAGGCTACCCTTCATTGAGGGTTGCTATGTTGGTAGCAGAGATGTTTTGGTGGTCAAGTTGTTTTTACATTGATAAGGTTCTCTGACAGAAAAGATTATCTTATATTTAGTGTACTAGTAGCTTTGCAATCAGGGACCTTACCCCTGACTTTTTACCACTACATGTCACAACATTGTGTAGCTAGTAAAGTAAACTCATCAATGCATCAGAAGTCCTGGAAACTGCTAAGATAACTAAAACAGTATTTCATGAGGATGTAAATTTCATTCAATAATAAGATAAATGGCCGGGTGTGGTGGTTCACACCCATAATCTCAGCATTTTGGGAGGCCAAGGCAGGCAGATCACCTGTGGTCAGGAGTTTGAGACCAGCCTGGCCAACATGGCAAAACACTGTCTCTACTAAAAATACAAAAATTAGCCAGGCACAGTGGCATGTGCCTGTAATCCCAACTACTTGGGAGGCTGAGGCAGGAGAATTGTTTGAACCCAGGAGGCAGGGGTTGCAGTGAGCCCAGATCACACCACTGCACTCCAGCCTGGGCAATTCTGTCTAAAAAAAAAAAAAAAAAAGTAATAGCAATGATAAGATAAATATAATAGCTGAGAAGCCTACTATTTCAAAACATTAGACAAATGAATTTGAATTATTATTTTCAATATACAGATTATAAAGGGACAATGAGAAAATGTATATTAAGCAACTTTAAAAAAACAAACAGTAAAGCAGTATAAAATAATAGAAAAACTTTATATTAGCATAGTATCTCCTATCTTTTTATCTAGATCAACTTCTGGATTACCAAATTTGTCCATATACTTGATATTTATTCAAGTATAGATTTTAAAATATTAGCCTATTAAATATTTCATGATTTTAGATATTTCCAATGTCAAACTTTCAAAAGTACGTTTAACTCCTAATGATTTTTCAATTAAAAAAATTTTTTTTTGTTTCTCATGTTGTTTACAAATGAACAAATTCTTTAGTTAGAAATGCTAGTTTAAGCCAGACATGGTGGCGTATGCCTTATAGTCTTAGCCACGCAGGAGGCTGAGGCAGGAGGATTGCTTCAGCCCAGGAGGTTGAGGCTGCAGTAAGCTGTTTTGTTTTTGTTTTTGTTTTTGTTTTTTTGAGACAGAGTTTTGCTCTTGTTGCCCAGGCTGGAGCGCAGCGGCAGGATCTCGGCTTACCGCAGTCTCCCCCTCCTGGGTTCAAGCGATTCTCCTGCCTCAGCCTCCCAAGTAGCTGGGATTACAGGCGTGTGCCACCACACCTAGCTAATTTTTTCTATTTTTAGTAGAGATGGGTTTTCACCATGTTAGCCAGGATGGTGTCAATCTCCAACCTCAGGTGATCCGTCCGCCTCAGTCTCCCAAAATGCTGGGATTGCAGGAGTGAGTCACCGCGCCCGGTTGCAGTAAGCTGTTGATTGAGCCATTGCACTCCAGCCTGGGTGACAGTGAGACCCTGTATCTACCAAAAAAAAAGAAAAACCAAGAAAAGAAAGAGAGAGAGAGAGAGAGAGAAAGAGGAAAGAAGGCAAATTTAGGTGAGAGATTCAATTATATATTATAATTAGACAAGAATCAACAAAGTAATGACTACTTAATTTGTTCTTAATTAAACTTTTTTTTCATTTTTAGTTTTTCTAGAGCATGACTATTCAAATCAGGCTACACTAATCAGTCTAATCAGACTAATTAGAATATCTTATTCTAAAGGATCAAAACATAACAAACATAGCTGGATAACATCACATTGTTATGTTTTTCTTGCCTAATTAATTTTAACCAAAAATATGGCATATATCAGTTGCTAAATTTTAAAAGTCAAATTTGGACTTATAATAATGGGTTTATGAAATATAAAATAATTATGAAAATTACAAAATAGCTATTAAAATGGTTTTTGTGTCCTTATACTTAATTTCTCTCTTATACAGGCATACCTCATTTTATTGTGCTGTGCTTTATTACCCTTCACGGGTACTGCATTTTTTGCAAATTGGAGGTTTGTGGCAACCTTGCATAAATCAAGTCTATCAGCACCATTTTTCCAACAACATATGCTCACTTCTTGTCTCTGTGTCAGCATTTTTTTTAGCAATAAAGTATTTTTAAATTAATGTATGTATTTTTTAGACATAATGTTATTACACACTTAGTACACTATAGCGTAGTGTAAACATAATTTTCAAAAGGTTTTTTAGGGCCGAGCACCCATGGTTCACACCTGTAATCCCAGCACTTTGGGAGACCAAGGCAGGTGGATCCCCTGAGGTCAGGAGTTCAAGACTAGCCTGGCCAACATGGTGAAACCCCAACTCTTCTAAAAATGCAAACATTAGCCGGGTTATGGTGGCATGCACCTGTAATCCCAGCTACTCAGGAGGCTGAGGCAGGGGAATCACTTGAACCCTGGAGGCAGAGGTTACAGAGGTTGCACCACTGCCCTCCAGCCTGGGTAACAGAGCAAGACTCTGTATCAAAAAAAAAAAAAAGATTTTTTAATATTAATTTTATTTTTTCAATTGAATAATAATTGTACATGTTTATAGGATAAATAGTGATGTTTTGATACATATGTAGTGCTCAGATTAGGGTAATTAGAAGATCCATCATCTCCGACATTTATCATTTTTTGTGTTGGGACATTCAATATCCTCCTTCTTGCTATTTGAAACTATATATTATTTGTAACTACAGTCATCCTACAGTGGTATGAAACACTAAAACTCATTCCTCCTATCTCCCTGTAATTTTGTATCCTTTAACAAATCTCTCTCTATCCCTCCTTCCCCACATCCTTCTCAGCCTCTAGTATCCTCTGTTATATTTTTTACTTCTATGAAATGAAAAAAATATATATGTTTTTGGATAGAGACAGGATTCTTGTTACGTTACCCAGGCTGGCCTTGAACTCCTGGACTTAAAGGATCCTCCTGCCTCAGCACCCCAAAGTGCTGGGATTACAGGCATGAGCCACTATGCCCAAACAAGATCAACTATTTTTAGCTTTCACATATGAGTGAGAACATGTGGTGTTTAGCCTTCTGTTCCTGGCTTATTTCACTTAACATAATGATCTCCAGTTCCATCCATGTTGCCATGAATGACAGGATTTCATGCTTTATTATGGATGGATAGCATTCCATTGTATAAATATACCACATTTTCTTTATGCATTGATCTGTTATTGGACACCTTGGTTGATTCCACATCCAGGTTATTATGATTAGTGCTGCAATAAACACAGGTACACAGCTGTCTCTTTAATATACTGACTTTCCTTTGGGTAAGTGGGTAGCAGTGGGATCGGTGGGTATGGGTAGCTCTATTTGTAGTTTTCTAAGGAAGTTTCATACTGTTCTCCATAATGACTGCACTAGTAACTGGGAAATCTGTTATTATTAATTGTACTAATAACTGAGGAAGATTGGGTCCTTTTATCTTTCTGGCAGATTTTCTCTATGTTTGGAATTATTTCAAAATGAATCATTAAAAATAATTTTAAAAGGAGTACACTGTCTCTGAGAAAATAAGAGATAGTCAGTATAGGAAACAGAGTTTTGCTATAATGGGGAGAGTTGAGAAGAGTTTAATCAGTCTCAGCCTTCAATCTGTTTCCGTTGACACCATGAGGATCCAGGAGGAGCTCCCCAACAAAACTCAGCCCCAAACACAGATCTGACAGCTAATGAAATGATTCTTGTTCTTTTATGCCACTATGTTTCGAGGTAGGTTGTTAGTAGCAATAGTGACTGGAACAGAGCCCTCTGGGTTTTCTTTTATGAATCCTATAAAAGCAGACCTCATTTTATTTTGCTTCACTTTGTTATTTCCCTTCACTTTCAGACCTCATTTTATTTTGCTTCACTTTGCTTTGAACAAACCTTCAACTGTTGTCATTTATCTGTGCTTCACAAATACAGCCATCTTTTGCAAGTTGAAAGTTTGTGGAAACCCTTCATGGAGCAAGTCTGTCAGTGCCATTTTTCCAACAGCATGTGCTCCCTTGTGTCTCTTTTCACATTCCTCTAGAGAGGGAAACAGCGTAGGACTGGAGGGTGCAATGCTTCCATGGTGCACCTCATTGCACAGACGTTCCCCTGAGGCTGGTGGGCAAGCCAGCACTATGCAGCCCACTCTGTGATCAGCCCACACCCCATGGGAGTCTTGTCCCTTGGTGGCAAGTGTTTCCATAGTACTATAGAATGGCTAGTTGTCCCCTCAAAATCTCGTGTTAAAATCTGATCCCCCAGGTTGGAGGTGAGGCCTGGTAGAAGGCGTTTGGAATCCTGGGGTGGATCGCTCACGAATGGCTTTGCGCCATACTCTCAGAAGTGAGTTCTCGCTCTTAGTTCCAGAGAGAACTGACTGTGGAAGAGCCCGACACCTCCCTCCCTCCTCTTTCTTCCTTTCTCTCTCCTGCTCCCCTTCACTTTCTGCCATGAGTGGAAGCTTTCTGGGGCCCTCACCAGAAGCAGATGCCAGTACAATGTGTCTTGAACAGCCTGCAAAACTTACTGTAAGCCAAAAAAACCTATTTTCTTTATAAATTATCCAGCCTCAGGTGGTTATATTATTGTAATGCAGAATGGACTAAGACACATAGCCTCTAGGTGTCCAAGCCATGCTTTTCTTATCTAAACATGCAAAGAAACGAGTACCCCCAAGTAGCCCCCTGCAGTCATTACTGCTTACTATCAACCTTGTCAGCCACCTCCAAAACTGCAGCCCTCACCAGTGACTTTTCAGCCACTGCACACCCAAAGGTCATGTCCTCTAATAACATAATGGCATCCGTGGTACTCCCAAAGCTAAAGAGACCAGAGAACTCACTGCAAAACAGAACAGAACTCTAGACCCAAGAGAAACCTCCCCTCGACTCTTTGGGCTCCATACAGAAGACAGAAAACCCCCCAAAAGTGGATATGTGACACCTTTTCTATGTTCTTAAGGGGTCTCAGGGTTACTAGAAGTCTCCTCTAGATTTCTTCATGTGGTCTTGAAGATAGAAAATGAAGGAGGAGCAGGAGTGGAAGGAAATTGAAAATTAACTTTTAGAGGAGGCAAACTGGGGCAATTTTGAGTTTTCCGAAAGGCAAAAACCATACCAACAAGAAAGGCACCACACAGAGGGACCAAACATATACATTTTTTAAAAGGGGGGATGCTCAGTCAACTGAAAACAAGTTCCCAGATACAGGATGCAAAGAGAGAAGAAAGACAGGCGTGATGGTGCATGGCTATAATCCCAGCACTTTGGAAGGCTGAGGTTGGAGTTCCGCTTCAGGCTGGGAGTTTGAGACCAGCCTGAGCAACACAGTGAGACTTTGTCTTTACAGAACGTTTTAAAAATTAGCTGGGTGGGCACCGCTCTAACTCGACCCTGCTCCTCTGGGTTGAAACCCAGGCCCCGCCCAGATGCTGGCTTACCACTCTTCTCTTGTGGGTCCTGACACCAAACTCATTGGAAACATGGCACTCTTACCTATCAGAAGTCAATTCAAAGGACCTGCCCCCCAGAGAGACAAAAGATACAGATATTGTGGATGAAGCCATCTATTACTTCAAGGCCAATGTCTTCTTCAAGAACTATGAAATTAAGAATGAAGCTGATAGGACCTTGATATATATAACTCTTCACATTTCTGAGTGTCTGAAGAAACTCCAAAAGTGCAATTCCAAAAGCCAAGGTGAGAAAGAAATGTATACACTGGGAATCACTGATTTTCCCATTCCTGGAGAGCCTGGTTTTCCACTTAATGCAATTTATGCCAAACATGCAAACAAACAGGAAGATGAAGTGATGAGAGCCTATTTACCACAGCTAAGGCAAGAGACTGGACTGAGACTTTGTGAGAAAGTTTTCGACCCTCAGAATGATAAACCCAGCAAGTGGTGGACTTGCTTTGTGAAGAGACAGTTCATGAACAAGAGTCTTGCAGGACCCGGACAGTGAAGGGAGCTTGGGCGGCCACCATCTCCAGAGCCCTGGGCAGTATTTTCCAGCAAGATGTACACAATCTTTTGCTTTTATTTTATAAAGTTTTATACGGAAGAGAGAAGAGCATGTCTTTACTTCAAAAACTCTTGATCAAGAATTTGGGTAGGAGAAAAGAAAGTGGGTTATCAAGGGTGATTTGAAACTTTCTGCAGTATTAAGCTGGCGCTTATTAAGAATAAGTAATAATAAAGAAATTTCCAACAACAAAAAAATAGCCAGGTGTAGTGGTAAGCCCCCGTAGTGCCAAATACAATGGGAGGCTGAGGTGGGAGGATTTCCTGAGCCCAGAGGTCAGCGCTGCAGAGACCACGATAGTGCCACTGTACTCCAGCCTGAGAAACAGAGTAAGACCCTGTCTCAACAAAATGAGAAATTTAAAAAATCAGTTTCCCCCGCCCCCACACAACACAACCATAATACCAGCCTTTAATTAAGCTGAGTTCTGATCACAGAGTTCATTAATTAAGTAATTTTTAAAATTTCTTGTTTTAGAGACACGGTCTCGCTCTGTTGCCCAGGCTGGAGTGCAGTGGCGTAATCACTGCTCACTGCAGCCCCAAACTCCTGGGCTCAAGCAATCCTCCCTCCTTGGCCTCCCAGAGTGCTGGGATTATGGGTGAGTCACTGTGCCTGGCCTCCTCTTCAAGCTCTTTTACTTTTGCTTCTGCTGCTCGCCAGGCTTCCAGTTTGTTCACAGAGGTGGCCACCCCACTGCATGGCTGCTCACCCCTTTCTGCCCTCCCTTGCCGCGGTGGGCTAGGTGGCTCTCAGCTAAAGGTTGCTCTAAGCCTGCCAGCATTTGGGGATCATCCCTGTACTCACAACAAGGTCCACAGGCATCTAAAACATGAGCCTCACCATTCCACACAGAGGTGGCACCACCCTGGGGTCTCCCACAAGGATGCTTCAGTGCTTTTACCCATTTCTTGGTCTCAGCTCCTGCTAGTTCACCAAATGTTCTGCAGTGAGCCAGGCTGTGCAAACCTGCTCCCAAAGGCTGAGAAAGCTGAGAGGCCAAAGAAAGAGGCAGACAATTCCAGTTTCTCAGAAAGAAACATTTTCTTTTCTTTTTTTTTTTTTTTTGAGATGGAGTCTTACTCTGTCACCAGGCCAGAGTGCCAGCCTAGAAAGAAACATTTAATAGGGACTTACAAACAGAAGCCACGTCTCAGGCAGCTGAAAAATGGTGGAACCCTGCAATAGCCCTCAAGAAAAGAATGATATAGCTATATATAGACATATATATTTTTAAATATATATATTAAATGTATTTAATATATATTTATATATATAATGTATTTAATATATATT